AAACAAGAAATAACTCAAAGAAATAACCTGATCTCTCACCTTAAAGATCTGGAAGAACAACAAAATAACCTAACAATAGTAGAAGACATGAAGTCAAAGCAGAAATAAATGAATTGAAAGTTAGGAAAACTTTCTAAAAATCAAGGAAACCAAAAGTTTGTTCTTTGAAAAGGTAAACAAAATAGGCAAACCTCTAGCCAGGCTCATAAAAAATCAGGAGAATGCACAAATAAACAGGATCATAAATGAAAGAGGTGAAAACACAAAAGATACTGCAGAAATCAAGAGAATAATCAGAGAATACTACAAATAGCTATATGTAAACAAGTTCAACAGTCTAGAAGAGATGGACAAATTCCTACAACTCTATAATCATCCAAAGCAAGATAAAGAAGAAATAGAACAACTAAACAGGCCAGTTACAATTGGTGAAATTGAAGCAGTAATTAAAACCCTCCCCAAGAATAGAAGCCCAGGACCAGATGGATTTACAAATGTATTTTATTAAACATTCAGAAACGAACTAGTGCCTATCCTGCACAAACTTATTCAAACAATCGAGAAAGAAGGAAAACTGCCAACATCACACTGACACCAAAACTTAACAAAGATAACACACACAAAAAAAAAAAACAAAAACAAAACTTCAGACCAATCTACCTAATGAACACTGATGCAAAAATCCTCAACAAAATCTTTGCCAATAGAATCCAACATTGCATTAAAAGAATAATACACCATGACCAAGTGGGCTTTATCCCAGGAGCACAAGTATGGGTCAACATCAGAAAATCAATTAATCTAATGAATCACATCATCCAACAGAAAAATCAAAACCATATAATCATATCAGTAAATGAGGAGAAAGCATTTGACAAAGTTAAGCATCCATTTATATTTAAGACCCTCAAAATCCTCTGAGTAGAAAGAATGTACCTCAATATGATAAAAGCCATATATGACAAACCCACAGCTAACATTACCCTTAATAGAGAAAAGCCATGAATGAGTCATGGATGTCTACTGTCATGAAAGCCATGAATGAGTCATTGATGTCTACTGTCACCACTGCTCTTCAACATAACATTGGAGTTCTCGCCAGAGCACTAAGACAGAAAAAGACATACAAGGAATCCAAATAGGGTAAAAAGTAAAACTAAACAGGCCAGTTACAATCGGATATGATATGATAAGGATATGATATGACAGAGGATATGATAGTAGACATGGAAAACCCGGAGAATGCCATAGAAAAACTAATCAAAACAATTAACCAGCTTAGCAATGTTTCAGGCTATAAAATTAACACAAAAAAAGTTAGTAGTCTTCCTATACACAAACAACCAATCAGAAGAAGTAGAAATCAAAAACAAAACAAACAACAACAAAAACAAACAAAAAAAAAAACATGCCCTTCACAGTAGAAACACAAAATAATCAAGTACTTGGGAATAAACCTAAGAAAAGAGGTGAAGGCCCTATACAAAGAAAATTATAAAATCCTGATAAAAGAAATACAAGAAGACACAAGAAAATGGAAAGACATCCCATGCTCATGGATTGGAAGAATTAATATCATTAAAATCGCCATCCTGTCAAAAGCAATATACAGATTTAATGCCATCCCAATAAAAATCTCAATGACATTCTTCAAACAAATAGAAAAACTATTGATGAGATTTTTATGGAACCACAAAAAAACTCAAATAGCCAAAAACTCCACTGACTAAAATGAAAGATAACAGATGTATCACAATACCAGACTTCAAAGCTATACTACAAAGCCATAATAATCAAAATTGCATGGTACTGGAGCAAGAACAGACATACAGCCCAGTGGATTTGACCAGAAAACCCGAATATAAACCCACAAGTTTATGAACAGGTGATTTTTGACAAAGGAGCAAAGGCTATGCAATGAAACAAAAGAAAGCTTGTTCCACAAATGGTGCTGGGAAAACTGGACTGCTACATGACAAAAAAAAAAAAGAAAGAAAGAAAGAAAGAAAGAAGCTACTCTACTACATTGCACCATGCACAAAAATCAACTCAAAATTGATTTAAGAACTAGACATAAGACCTGAAACCATAAAATATCTAGAAGAAAAGTTGTTGTGGTGCATGACATACACCACAACAGTCTCTTTACAGATACAACACCCAAAGCAAAGATACTGAAAGAAATGATAAAGTGCTGAGACTACATCAAGTTAAAGAGCTTCTGTACAGCAAGAGAGACACTACACAAAGCAAAGAGACACCCCACTGATTGGGAGAAAATATTTACACACAATACTAATGACAAAGGACTGATCACAAAGGTATATAAAATGAGCTGATTAAACTCAACAAAAATAAAGTGAACAACCCCATCAAAAAAATGGACAGAAGAGCTAAAAGGACACTTCTCCATAAAATAAATGTAGATGGCCAGCAGGCATATAAAAAATGTTCAACATCACTTGTAATAAGGGAAATGCAAATTGAAACCACACAATGAGATACCATCTCACACCAGTGAGAATGTCATATATTAAAACAACTAGCAACAATAAATAATTGGTGAGTATGTGGAGAAATAACAACTCTCCTACACTGCTGGTGCTGGTGGTAGTGCAAGCTGATAAAACCACTATGGAAAACTTTTTGGATGTTCCTCAAAAGGCTGAAAATAGAGCTTCCATATGACCCATCCATCCCACTCCTAGGTATATACCCACAGGACACAAAAATATTGATTCAAAAGGACACCTGCATCCCCATGTTTATGGCTGCTCTTTTTATAATAGGGATGACGTGAATCAACCCAAATGCCAAAATTAAAAAGATGTGGTGCATATAATCAGCAATCAAAAAAGATAAACTCATGCCTTTTGTAGCAACATGGAGTTGGAAGGGATCATCCTTAGTGAAATAAGCCAGACAGAAAAAGAAAAATACCAGATAGTTTCACTCATAGCAGGAGTGCAAATGATCAGGAGGACAAAAAAAAAAAAAAAATAATAATAATAATAATAATAATAATAATAGAGAGAGAGAAACAAATGTAATAAAGTAAAAACAGAATAAATGAACAACTATAAACAGAGACATTTTAAGGGGTGGGAGAGGGAATGGAATTGAAACTAGGTTGGGAAGAGTGCATTGGACTGTGATAGTGGCATATAGGTGAATTGGTGGTGTAAAGCCCATAGTGATTACAATTGAGATGAAAAAAATGCACTAAATGAAGAATGATGTAAAAAAGTAAAAAATATAATCAAAAACTAATAAAAAAAAAACCTAAGACCAATCTCCATATAAGAAAGAAAAAAAAAGTCAAAAAAGAAAAAAAAAAATACTTGAGATAAATGATAACTAAGACATGACTTTCCAGAACAGATGGCACACAGCAAAAACAGTATTAAAGGGAAGGGTACACAATACAAGCCACATCAAGAAACAAGTACCCAAAGAAACAACCTACTTTCCCATCTTGAAGAATTAGAAATGAACAAAAAATTCTGATAACCAGTATATAGGAATCAGTAAAAATTATAGCAGAAATAACAAAAAAATCCTCAAAACAGATGAATGAATCAAACAGATGTGATATATGCACAATGAAATACAACTGGGTTATAAAAAAAGATAAATTCATACAATTTGCAGCATCATGTGTACAGTTTTAAGTGATTATGCTAAATGAAATAAATTATAAGGAAAATAAATATTGTGTGGTTTCACTTATGTATCAGTACATGGAGAAACCAAATAAAGGGTCAGACAAACTGTGACTCCTCGCCATATATAAGAAGCATCTAGAAGGTGACTGGATGGGGGAAGGGTGGAAACAGGATGGGTTTGGTAGAACTGAAGCTACTGTGGATATTGTCTATATATGCTTTGGTTGAGGGGAGAATGACATTGACCATAATTGAGAGGAGAAATAATATTTTGCACCAAAATTAACAATGATGTAAGAAAAAAGTACTTCATTTCTCAATTAAATTTCAATATACTACCTTAAAAGTTATTAAATTACGACTTTTACAAATTAGATTTGTTGAGTGGGTTATTCTTTTTTTAAAAAAAAGATTTGTTGGGTATATTATATATATATATATATATATGTATGTAGCATATGTATATAAAATACATATGTGTGTGTGTGTTATAGATAATATAGATACAGATTGTGACCATACGCCTTGCAATCTGTTAGACTCTGAAAGTGTCTGCTCTGACCAGTGAAACCACATTCCCTCATCAGGGAAGGTATCAGAGTGGTCCCAGTCCTTGCAACCTTCCACAGATTCCACCAGCTGCCCACCCAGAGCAGTGTGACCCCTGATCAGTGAAGGGAGATGTGCTTAGCCCAGATCAAGCCCCATCTACAGCAGCTACGCTACAAAGCACATAATGGGAAGAATGAAAAATCTGACAACCACAGGAGACCTAAGGGAATAATGCAAACTAAGATGTGTGATGACATGAGGAAAGACAGCATTACAATTTGAGGGTACCAGAGAGCAAAGAGAGAGAAAGGAAGAGTAAATAATGAAGAAAATCTTCTGATTCATTTACCAGCAAGATGTATACCTAAATAAAATTTATATTTAAGGTTGTCAGACTTTTAAAAACATATGCTTAATTTTGAAAATGTATAACAGAAATGTGCGACTAATTTTAAGCAAGGATATTTTGCCTTACTTTAGTATATCATAACATGAGTATAATATGAATGGGATAATACAATTATTTGCCAGTACAGCTGAGAATCATTTTGTTTTGGTGCTACCAGATATTGTGTAAAGTGACGTAACTTCAATTAGAAAAATAAAATAATGTTTTTGTGCATTTGAACTGTACTATCAGATAATTCCCTTTTGAAACTGAAATCTTTAAAATGTGTTATCAGATATATGCATTATCTTGGTTATAATTATTCACAATGGATTACTTATGCAAGAATTCCTATTTCATTTCAAATTTTGGTTATCTTGTTCACATTTCTTTAGATGTTATTAAGCTACAGTTGGTTGAAGCAGGCCTAGTAGAGTGCCTCCTAGAGATTGTTCAACAGAAAGTGGATAGTGACAAAGAGGATGACACTGCTGAGCTCAAAACTGCTTCAGATCTAATGGTTTTATTACTTCTTGGAGGTGAGTTATAATTTACACTAAGTAAAAAACATGGTTGTCAAATTTTGCTTAAAAATTTTGTTAATTTTATATATACTATTAGACATTTTCTCAATTTCTATCTTATTTAATTCTGTTATGAGTTTGAAACTAATCACATCATAATAATAATGAACATTATACAATCTTCAAATAGTGAACATTATACAATCTTCAAATATTTAAAGAACTTATCACAAAGAAGAGACAGCTGGGCAGCAAACAACTTTAAGCTAGGATGGTTGAGTGGGACATAAATAGAAAAATTCTAAATTCATTTATGTAGTTTTTACTAAAAAAATTATTGTTAATAAGCATAACTTTTTCCTTTTACAAATTATAATTTGTAAATTGTGTAGTTTGTTAGTTGGATATTCACGTAGGAATATGGATTCCCATTTAATATTTAAACCCCTCCCATATCTATTTGTTTCATTTGCCACCAGATGAGTCCATGCAGAAATTATTTGAAGGAGGAAAAGGTAATGTGTTTCAAAGGGTGCTATCCTGGATTCCATCAAATAACCACCAGCTACAGCTTGCTGGAGCATTGGCCGTTGCAAATTTTGCCAGAAATGGTAAGCCATATTAGCTCTTAATTTTTTTAATCAAATGTTCAAGATTTTTAAATGCTTGTTTTGTCATTATATGTACTGACACTGGAACAGTTAGAATTGTGTGTAGTTAGTATGTGTATTCTTTACTTAATTGTTTAGAGATCTGAAATAGTTAAAGTAACTTCCATAGCAAATATATACTTGATACATTCACCTAACTTCTGTTACTTAAAGGGCATGAGCAATAATCATAAAGTGTTTCTTTGAGTATTTTCTTCTTCAAAGTTTAGTAAACTTGAGAATCATTCTAATATACATTGATTTGGAAGGATATGCTCTTTTCCCTGGTGATTTTATTACAGATTTTAATCTGTTTATTCATAGTAAGGTTATTGTGCTTCAATTTATGCTTCTATCTTGTTCACATTTTAAGTGTGGGTAATCCATGGGTTTGGATAATATTTAGTTTAATAATATTTAGTTTAATATTATTTCATAGGCATGATTCATATGTGTTTAGTTTTGAAATTCTGACATCTTTATATTCAGTATAATAAATCATTTTTATATGTATATCTAGGGAATATGTGTTTTTTTTTTTGTTGGTTTTACTTTATTACAATATGAACTGTTATTATTGGAATGGATGATTTATTTCATTGTTTCCTTTTTTGTGTATGAAACCGTCATTAACTCCACAATGATGGAACTCAGACAGACCTAATATTAAAATTTGTTGAAATTGAATGTGCAGTTGCTAGTAATTACATAAAATATTAACTCTTCTTTAAATTAATTAAAAACTCTGTCATAGGAAAATGATTCAATAATCAGTAATACATAGTATGTATATAAAATGTATAATACTGTTAATATAATAATGACAGAATGTGGGCATACTTCACTATGAAAAATAGTATACTATATGAAAAATAGTAGTGGGTATTTTTCAAAATTTTTATTGAGATTTATATGAATTTTTGCTATTATATGAATCTCAAGTATACAAATAGTTTAACATTATCACCTAAAGTTTAGTTTCCACCCATCCATCACCATACAATGATTGAAATTCTAAACATATGCTTGGTATCAGATCTTTTAGTTCATTTTTCTGATATTTAAACTTTTCTTTATTTTAAGAACCTTTGATCAAACTTTTCAATGGAAAACAAAAAAATAATAAATTTCAAATGAAAAAGATTTGGAATGCTATTTTCTAAGAGTTACATTTTCCCTAACGTAGATAAATGAATGGGCATCAAAATAGTTATAGATATTTGTAAAGAGGAAGAAAAACATATTTTGTTTTGTTCAGATGGAAATTGCATCCATATGGTAGACAATGGTATAGTCGAAAAACTTACGGATTTACTGGACAGACACGTAGAAGATGGAAATGTAACGGTACAGCATGCAGCACTGAGTGCTCTTAGAAACCTGGCCATACCAGGTAAGACTGAAAGATGGAGGCAGCAATAAAAGAAATTACATACATTATTTGGTAGGATATTTATATTTCGTGATCTGTGGACAAGCCCTGAGCAATAAAGGGAAAAAATGAGTATTTTCTAATTATTTACATTTTTCTTATGAATAAATGGGGGATCATATTAAGTTTTCTGAGACTATATAAGCATAATATTTGCCTTTGTTCACATCATTCAAATATTCCATTTCATTTCCTTCTGTGCGCTCCTCTAAGTTTTTATCTCACATAGTTTTTTTTAAAAAGTATTTTCAGTTGAAGTAATACAGTGATATTGAGTGTAACTGATACACTCATCAGTAATACAGTGATATGAACTAAAGAATGACTTAAAATATGTTTTTTATCCCTATATAAAAACTATTTTAATTAGTGTAATTTGTGTATTTGAATTCAATTTCTTTTTATTCAGAAATAAAACAGGATATAATAAAGCCTATTCTTTTCTAAAATGAAATAATGTTAACTATTTAAGGTGCAGTCTATCGATTTGGTTTATATAGCAGATTAACATTGCTTACAAATGTTTATAAATATTGTAAAAACGCAATTGCTTACAAATGTTTATAAATATTGTAAAAACGCAGTTAGGTCAAAGATTGAGGTCTAAAAAACATTAAACTTGAGACAACACTGTCAGAATTCTTTTTACAGATTATTTAGGTGTTTTGAGGTTAGTTTCCAATAAGTGTGATTTTGTACGTTACTCTCCTGTAGAAAACTGGATACTTATTCCCCAGCACTCCCTGCCAGAATTCTTTTTTTTTTTTAATATCCACAAATATGAAGATTATTTAATATATTCCACCCACAGCATGAGGCTTAGAGAAACCTTCCCCTAAATACAACCACCAAACCATTTCATTGCTAGCGATGTGGGCTGAACTATGGACGTTTTATTTGATGTTCGTAGCTTGCAATGGTGGCAGAAAAAAAGAAAAAGGAGGGAGAGTTGCAACTAAGGCCCTGGCTGTTCTGACCAGCTGAACATACTGAAAATGGGGAAACACTGGTATACAGACTATACCAGGAATTTTCATTGAGGATGGAGTGAAGTTGAACACTGGAACTTTTAGATCAGTCGTGAAGAATGTGTTAGCAGTACAGGTAGCTGAACCTATCCTTCCTCCGCTTGGTATTGTTTTAATGCCAGGGTGGCAGGGCAGTAGAACATGGACCAGTTGGTCAGCATCTTCCGCAAACATAACAGGAGAAGAGCTGGTATAAAACAGTCTGCCTGGAATAATCTTCCATCCTCCCCAAATCAGAGATATACTCTCCTGACTCCAGCTTCCCCTTCCCTTAATAGTTACAAGGAAAGGAAGATACACAAAAATAAAGTTTTCATTCTATCCTATTATGTAAACCAATTTTATCCCAACAAACATAATTTATAAATGTATAAAATGGGAATAAGAGGAACAGACCTGACCATAATATAGTTCAAATCTACAAACCCACTAGTTATATACAAAAATATTTCCCCTACAATTATAAACATGTATGTATATTCCATTAATTATTGGAAGATCTAAACAGAGCAGTTAGGCAAGAAAAAAGATATAAGGGAACTCCATGTTGGAAAAGAGATGAAGGCATCGTTATTTGTAGATAACTTAATGATATTTAAAAATACCAAAAATCTTGAAATAATAATACAGTAATGTGATAGGATGTGGAAAAATTGCATCATAAATGTTTGTTGTATCGCTATATGTTAACAGTGTATGAAAGAAAGAGAAAATAAGAAAGCAATCCCATCTATGTCATATCAATAATGAAAACAATACAGTGAGTAAACTTAGCAAAAGTGGTGAAGGACATACATACAAATAGCATAAAACATTGTCTAATAACAGAAAAGACACAAAGAACTGGAAAGATACTTTGTATTTTTGGATTGGGTAAATAAACATTGTTAAAATGGCCACACAATTTTTTATTAAGAAAACAAAAAATAGGGCCCTCTCAGGTAGCCCAGTGAGTTAAAGCACAACACTAAGAAGCTAAGCCACTTCCACATGAGTCCGAAACCTGCCTGCCCCAGAGGTGATCCACATGGCACGGCAGACCTCTCCTGACCCTCCTGCTGCTCCCCTCAGCAGTGTACATAGTCAGTGGGCCTATTCTGCTCCCCCCTCTGTCTCTGGTGAATCTTCTCACTGCCCCTGTACCTGTGGCCTGTACCCCAGATCTGTATACATAAATAAATAAATCTTTAAAAAGAAAACAAAAAAAATAACCATATCACCTTAAACAGTTTACAGATTCAGTTCAATACTTACAAATCCAGGAGTATTTTCTAGGAAATGGAATAATTACAATATAAAAGATGTATGGAATCACAAAAGTTCTAGAGTAGCCAAAACAAAAAAAGAAGAAAAACAGAGGCATCATTCCTAATTTCAATTTAGAAGTAGCATTCAAAGCTTTTTGGGATTACAATAAAAACAAATACTAATCAATATAATAGAATAGAGAACTGAAAAATAAACCCATATATATATGGACAGTTAGTCTTTGACACAGGAGCCATGATCATATAATAGATAATAGAAAGTGTCTTCAGTTAAGTGGTCCTGGAAAACATGAACAGCCAGCCATATGCAAAACAAAATGATCATCATTCAAATCTATACATAAAAATAATTGACAATGCACTATAGACCTGGATATAACACCTGAAACCATGAAAAAAACATAGATGATATATCTTCTTGATATCAACTGTAGAAGTGAATTTGAGGCTCAACTACAAAATGAGAGAAAAGGCAAAAATAAATAGGACAACATCAAACTAAAGAGCTTTTGCAGCACTAAAGAAATCATCAACAAGCAAAAGGGCAACCTACAGACCATGAAAAATATATTTTCACATCACACATCTGACAAGGGTATAATCTTGTGTGTGTGTGTGTGTATGTATACCTTATGCAAATAAACAACCAAAATCAACCCAATTTAAAAATGAATAAAGGCCCTAAATAAATTTTTCTCTAAAGAAGCCATAGGCACACAAAGTACCAAAAATCACTTATTTTAAAGGAAATAACAAAATCACAATGCAATATCTTCTCATTCCTTGAGATGACCTATATCAAAAAGTCAGAACAATATTCATGAGGAACTGGAGAAAAAACAATACGGATCTACTCTGGTAGCTATTTAAATTGGAAAACTAAAAATGAAAGTACCCGCTTATCTAGCAATACCATTTCTATTTAACCAAAGAATATGAAAACACTAATGTAAAAACATGGATGCTCTAATTCACAGCAGCAATTATTCACAATATCCTGCCCATTGACAAACAGCTCTATAAAGTAGTATATATACTTAATGGAATACTGCTCAGCTATTAAAAACAAAATAGTGCCTTATATAAATCAAAATGAGTGATGATTATACTAAGTGAAATAAGCCAGAAAATAACAAACAATTTCACTCACAGAAAATAAGAAACCAAAGAATACAAAACAAAACAAAAGAGTAACTCTTAGGCTGTTTGAAAACTATAGTATTACCAGAAGGGACAGAGTAGTAGAGGGGATGTATCATAGGGCATTGGCAATAGAGCTTTGGTGGAGAGTGAGTGAAATTATATGCATATATGGTAATGTAAAGTTATACTCTTCAGGAGTAGAAAAAATATTTTTGCATTTTAAGAAATGCAAACTGTATAATTTTCAGCCTTAGTGGCAAGACACTAAATAATATCTACTGAGTTAAATACTTAGTCATCAAGAATGCTAACTTTTTTTTTTAACCATAAACTTTCCTTCTCTATAGTTGTTAATAAAGCAAAGATGATATCAGCTGGAGTCACAGAGGCAGTGTTGAAATTCCTTAAATCTGAAATGCCTCCAGTTCAGTTCAAACTTCTGGGAACATTAAGAATGTTAATAGATGCACAAGGTAAAAGAAAAAAATTTTTTTCAAGTTGGTATGATAGTGTTCTGCCTTTAGCTGTAGATGTTTCAGTGGTGAGTAAGATATTGTACTACCCCTGAAGGTGCAATATGTAAACCCACTGATAATTCAAAAAATAAATAAAGGACCTGTGTTTAGCTTTCAGAATTTTATAATAATAGACATAAAGGGCAAATTAAAGCTGAAAGAGATGGGTGTAGGATTCTAAGTAATTCCCATACTGATTCTAATTAACTTTAAGTAGGAATTACATTGCTCTTGAATAGTACTTGTAATCATAACTTTGGGTTGATTTACTAGCAGTTCCAGTGGGAGTTTTATGCTGGGCATTCCATACCTATTTTTACCTTGTCTTCAAAATTACAACTTTTCAAAAACAGTAAGACTCATACTATTAAAAACTTTGTTTGCAAACAGATATTTTTTTTTTTGTTTTTTATAGAAACAAAAATGGAAATCAATCCTTGGAATTGTTTATTATTTCTGAATTCCAAACCTTTTAGGACTCATTAATTTCACAGAGTCCTTGCCAGAATATTAACTACCAAAGTAAATCAAAACAGTATAAAGCTAACTTTTTAGAAAAAAAAAAAAAGTTATACCGGATATGTATAGTTGCAGTTTTTGCTTTAATACAATTATTTTGTTGTGTTTTTCAGACATTAAATTTCCCTTCACTTTCTTACCTGCTTTTTTTTTTTTAACTAATTACTTTAATTGGATACCTATCAGTAACTGTTTTCTTTATGGTTGCTTTTTTTTCTATAGCAGAAGCTGCTGAACAACTGGGAAAGAATGTTAAATTAGTGGAGCGTTTGGTAGAATGGTGTGAAGCTAAAGATCATGCTGGTGTGATGGGGGAGTCAAACAGACTGCTTTCTGCCCTAATACGACACAGTAAATCAAAGGTAAGTTCCAAGGGAAACTATTCACTAGTAAAAAAACTGAGTCACTTTTTTTGAAATCCTGGTATCATAAGCTTGTGTTTTTATGCATTTCATATACATTCATTAACAATTATATAAACATAATTTTTTTTTTTACTTTAGTTTGTTATATAATATTCAAAGATGAAATTTTGGAATTAAAGATAGTTCAATTCTATTTCTACCATTTACTTGACTGGTGGTCTAGGACACACTATCATGTCCCTGGGGAGATACCAAGAGATGAGTCATAGAGTAGGTTTGCAAGGCAAGATACTGCTGTCTCTTGCAGTTTATTTAGTAATAGTGAACAAGCATGATTGTGATGTGAGAAACAGGGTATAGAAGGATAATCAACTTTATGGGAAAACTATTCAGGGGAGAAAACTATTCATGGGAAAACTTTAATAAGGAATGTAAGGGATGATGTCAGCCACATATGTAGGGAGTTGTACTCCCCTTGCAGGTGTTTAATTTTTCAAGTTACTCCTAGATCGTCTTAGATCCTGACCACACAATCAGTTAATGGCTGCTTAGGTGTCCCAGGCTGCCTATGATGTCAGTCCTTGTCTCAAGGCAGTCATGCAGGAGTGCCTTATCCAGGTCTTTCACAAACACTAAGTACACAGAGAGGCCAAGTGCACACAGGTGCAGAGGCCCTGGGTGGGAGAGAGGCCACATATTTGGTCAAATATTTTCACATCTCTATCTTAATATATGTACAAACAATGAAGATTCCTACATAAAACTATGTGATGATGATTTAGTTTCATATATAAAGTGTTTTCATGCTACCTGGGATGTAGTAAGCTCTCAGTAAATTAAGACTGCTATTTTTATTGCTGCTTTTATTGTTTTTACCACCATCATTACTGGCATCACTTAAACATCTTCACTGAGAAGATAAAAGAATTAAATGAAATCTAGAGAGTATATGATTCCCAGAACTCACAAAGTTTGATAGAATTAATTCTCATGAAGAATCATTTTAGTATAGTATGGCCTATAGATTTATTTGGATGAATGAACAAATAAACTATTGCAAAGATTACAATAATGAGAAACCAGACTAGCAGTTTAGGACTGATTTACTGTCTAGATAATTTGTCATTTACTCTTCTAAATTTTTTAATTTTTTTTTGTAAATTTATATTTATAGAACTGGGGTATAGGCCAAAGGTGTGGTGGATGAGAGGATAGTGGGGAGCAGAACAGGCAAATTGACAAAGTACACTGCTGAAGGTAGCAGCAGGCAGGTCAGAAGAGATCTGCCATGCTATGTGGGTCAACTCCCTGGCCAGGGATCGAACTTGTGCTGCAGTGACTTTGTAGCGCTTCATAATGCAGTACTACACTACAGTCATGTGTGCTCCTCCCATCCCAGTTTTGACCCTATCCCCTTTTCCACCACTGTAGAAAGGATTTTGACACTTTTCTGTAAATTTCATTTATGTAAGATTTTCATTTCTCTCATTTAATCCCCAAAACAAAAGCTTTTGAGTATCTATTAAACATCCATCACTATATAGACTATTTATTTGAAGGCTGTAGAAATGTGGCATAGTACCTTACTAGATATGCATGCATTTGTGTATAAATTTGAAATGATGCAGAACTGCAACTTTAAAAAAAAAAAACTTATTTATTTATACATACAGAACTATTAGTTTGAATTATTTTTAAATTAATTTTAATTATTTTTAAATTTCAAATAGAATCAATGATTCCCATTGAACAGAGTTCTCAAAATATTTCCCATCAAAGAATAACCACCAGAAATTTTCTACAAAAAAGAAAAATGTGGAAAATAATAGTATGGTCAGATTATTTAGGAAAATAAATAATTGCCTTGATATTCACGTAAACCTCAGACTACTATGAAGAAACTTCCATAAATGTACTATTAAACATTGTATATCTTGTTTTTTTGCAAGTTGATCTCTGAACATCCATTGAACACACTTGGGAAATTGCTTCTCTTGGAATAAGCTTTTAAGATAATTAAGCATGAGGTACACATTTCCTAAATTCTTATACTCCTGTTCTCTCTTGTGTTATTCTTAAACGTTGAAAATCCTATTCCTTTTAACTCTGAGTTCTGTCTTAGTGACTCATAGGGTTTTATGCTGCTTTTGTCCTCTTAGGATATTTCTGAATTAACACTATTAGGTAAATTTGTATCATGCTTTGAAAAAGTCTTTTAGGCAAGGACTCTTGTCCAACTTGTTGGAACTTCTGACTAGCTATCAAAAATAGAATAACAAATATTGTTTGCCTCTATAGTAGGTGGTGGCTTAGGGGCCTATGTGAGCTTGTTGTGGGTTGTGAAAGAATCCATGGAGACTGGGAGACTATAATTAAAGACAAATTTATTGAGTTGACTTTTCAAGAGAAATCATGAGCAGAAGTTAAATGACTGATAGGGAAAGTTAGTGGCTATTTACAAAGTGAGAGGAGCTTGAATCTAGCTTTTATACTTTAGTTTCCTTTGCATTGCAATTTCTTTTTGCTCATGTAGCAAGGACTGGCTTAGCTTGTACAGAAGGGATTTAAGAGTGTTGATACTACTGATGGGGTTATTATAGACAGGACATATTGCCAGTGGTTGGGGATTAACGGAGTGCCATCCCAAGTTTCAAAGTTTAATTTACCTCCTGAGTAGGAATATAAAAATTCCTTCTTGTTGAAATAGTCACTTTATTAGACTTTAAAATATTTTCATTACTTATCAACTAAAAACTTTTTAAAACAAATCAATTTAGTAATTCACTCATTCATCCAACATCTGTTTTAAGCCTATAAAAATTAATACACAATTTTTGGTAAGAAATTCAGTAGCTATACCTACATGTAATCTTACAAATTGGTTAATCTCAAATTCAAGCCCATATCAATACATTTCAATGTAATCAATATTATGATACAGTTTCCAACAGTCTTTAACTGCATATATCTTAATAATTAAGAGTAAATTGGCCTTTAGGGTTAAATATGCTACTTTATTAGCATAGATAATTTATTTCAATTACAGATGTATGCAAATTGAGCTTTCCATAAGAAAACTCCTTGAGAAATAGGATTATAAAAACATTGTTTTGAATAACTTTATAAAACTGAATATTTTGAATGACATTATAAAATATCTCCAAATTTTTGCAGACACAGCTAGGGGTTAAAAAAGTTACTAGGGGCCCTCCCTGGTAGCACAGTGGGTTAAAGCACAGCACTGCAAGTTAATGGCAGCCCTGGCCCTGAAGGTGATCCAAATGGAGTGACAGACCTCGCTTGACCTGCCGCTGCTTCCCTGAGCAGTATATTTCAGTAGATCTGCCTGTTCTTCTCCCCACTCTGTCTCTGGTGAATTCTCTCACCACCCCTGTACCTCTGGCCTGCACCCCAGTTCTGTGTGCATAAATAAATAAAATCTTTTAAAAACATAAGATTAAAAAGGTTACTAGGAAGAAGAGTCAATCGTATATTTCCACAGTTTACTCATTAGAAATGAAATAGTTTAGAGAAGCTGAAATAATCTCTGGATTAATATTAAATTTGTATTGGTTAAAATTATTTATAATTTTAGTAGTGTACCTACTCATGCTGTGAAGTGGTTCCTGTAGCCTCTTTTTGTTAATATCTTAAATTTATAATATAACATTAAAATGTACTATTTTGTTTACCACATTTTTAATTAGAGAAATATATTACATTTCTAACTTTTTTGATAATTAATTTTTAATTAAGTAACCCCATTAAGTATCACCACCACAGTTCACCCACCACAGAATCACCTGTATTTTATCATCATTATGCTACAGTCTCTCTTTGTTCTTACCCCTCCCCCAGCCACTCCTCCACTTGGTGTTTAAACCTCTAGTCAGATCTCCAGGGTTAGTTTTCTAGCTTGTCTTCATCTCTTAACTTAGTTGTTTTATATTCCATATAATAGTGATGCCACCCGGTATTTATTTTTCTCCTGATTTTTTTCACTTTGAATTATACTTTCAAGATTCATTCATATTGCTGCACCTGGAATGAATTTAACCTTTTTCATGGCTAAGTTGTACTCCATTGTGTATATATACCACATCTTCTTAATCCACTCATCAGTTCTGGCGCAGCTAGGTTGCTTCCATAATTTATATATAGTAAGTTGTGCTGCAATAAACATGAAGGTGCAAGTTTCCTTTTGAATTGGTGTTTTGAATTTGGGGGATAGATGCCTAGGAGTGAATTTACTGAGTGAATTTTTTGAGATAAGTCCATGCCGCTTTCTTTAGGAGTTGAAGGTTTGATTCCAGCCAGTAGTATATTAGGGTTCCCTTTTCTCTACATCCTCATCAGCACTTATTGTTTCTGGTCTTTACAATATGAGCCATTCTCACAAGTGTTAGATCGTATCTCATTGTGGTCTTCATTTGCATTTCTCTAAGAGTAAGTGACATAAGAGATTGTACATTTTATCATGTGCCTGATGGTCATTTGAATATCTCATTTGGAGAGCTGTCTTGTTTGGTTCTTTGGGTAATTTTTTGATTGGACTATTGGTTTTGATTTTTTACAGTTCTATATATTCTTTGTGTATCTTTGATGTGAGTCTTTTTTCAGATGATGTATGAAAGTACTTTCTCCCATTAACTAGGGTGTCTTTTTGTTTAGTTATGATTTCTTTCAAAACTTTTTGTTTGATATAGTCCCAACTGTTTATGTTCTTTTAATTATTATTATTATTTATTCATTTATTTGTGCATACAGAGTCTTTTGGGCAAGAACTCTTTCAAAGAGGCAAAGTCCTTGACTCTGGTACAGGCCAGAGGCTCAGGGGTGATCCAAATGGACTAACAGGCAAGTCCTTGCCTCTGGTACAGGCCAGAGGCTCAGGGGTGGCGAGAGGCTTCACCAGAGACAGAGTGGGGAGCAGAACAGGCAGATCGACAGATCGACAAAGTACACTGCTGAGAGGAGCGGCGATCAGGTCAGGAGAG